TTACCAAAATCTCTTCGCTTCACAAATGAAAGAGGCATTAAGAAGAGGAAAGAACACATAAAGCATGATCAGGGGATTTTTGTTTTAAATGACCAGAGTAGTAAGCTACAGGTTCCAAAATGCTAAGAAGAATAGCATTTCTACAATAGTGATTTTCTTATGTGGCACCATCTGTTTTTCTTTGAATGTAATAAAAATGACAGCTTTTCATGTACGGATACTCCCTGGGCCTTTTAAAGTCAGACATATGATGCTATTTGTGTGTAAAGGTTTTTCTCTTGTACTCGTTTGTTTCTGCAGCTTGAATTTCTATGTAAACTCCCTTGGCTAAATTACACAAGCCACCCACACCCAGCGCCTCCTTCCCTGCCAAAGAGCGGGGGCCGGAAACCTGCAGCCTGGAGGGTCCATCGTGCCGCTTCGTGTAATGGGCAGAGGGAAGTTTTCTGTGAGGCAGGGCTGCCCGCACCCACTCCCCTGTTTGTGCCACGGCTGGATATGCAACTTGGAAACATGGCTTCAAGACATTTTTGGCAACCTGCCCTAAACCCGCCTTTTTTTCTCCCTCTTTCCCTTTGTAACCTTGACAAATTCCCCTTATCTCCCTTCTCCTCCTTTGCCCTAAATGTCCCATTTTCCTTTAAAAGGCATTAATATGCATTTAAAATGAATACCGTTTTCTTTCGTTAAAAAACAACTTAACGGAGGTATAATTTATGTACCTTAAAATGTATATACCATTTTCAGTGTACAGTTTAATGCTTGTTAGTAAATTTACCAAGCTGACAACCATCACCATAATCCAGTTGAGAACATTTTCATCACCACACTAGGACTCTTCATGCCCTTTGAAAATTCACTCGCATTCCCACCCCGCCCCTGGCAACCATTCATCTACTTTGTCTCTAGATTTGCCTTTTTTAGACATTTCATATACATGAAGTCATACAATGCATGGTTGTTTGCATTTGGCTTCTTTCGCTCGGCATGTTTTGAGGTTCATCTATGCTGTAGCCCGTGTCAGTACTTCTTTCCTTTGTGTTGCTGAGTCACACTCCGTTGTGTGGATGTGGATCACCTTTGTTTAGCCATTCATGAGTTGCTGGACATTTGGGTTTTACTTTTTGGCTATTATGAGTAATGCTGCTATGAGTATTTGAGTGCAAATCTTTGTGTGAATAAATTAAACCTCTTATTCTTGATAATTAATAAAATTATATGTTTCTAGTGCTTCGCTCAAACACCAGCTGAATTGACTTTTTATAATCCTAGTCCTTGGCCCCTCAAACAAACCCTCCAAAGCTAAGCTGGCTTTGGTTTTACTTTAGTGATGCTATCAGTTGATCTTTTCTCTGAGTCATTGGCCCTTGATACAAAGGTGCTTCCCAATTGTTAGAAAAATGTTCCCAAGTCCTGCTCTCAGTAAAGGAAAACAAGATATCATTCAAGTTTGGGAGCATTGATTCCACACATTCCTTGTGTCCAGACCTGTGTTAGGGGCTGAGGAAGCCATTGAGATGAGACCTGGACCCTCAAAAAGACCTGAGACCTTACTGTCTAGGGCGGGTGGGGGAGTGAAGGGGAAACCGGGGATCTATTCCCATTCTACACACTCAGCAGTCAGTAATGAAAAGAGGTCTTTTAAGTCATTCTCTCCTGCCTGCTTTGAGAAAGGAAAATTATTTATAAGAAGTGCTTCCAGTTTTCTTCCCAACTGAAAAAATTTCAACTCATGCAAGTTAATATTAGCCAGAGTCTGATGCCTTTTCCATACACAGGTTATATGCACACCCCTTTCCAAAGAAGAGCTGGAAGCCTCATCGGCTGCCATCTAAGACTTTCTCCTGAGCAGTCTCAGTTTGGATATGTTCAGGGCCTGGGAGCACACAGCTTCATGAAGTGGCCTATTTCATTTGTCAACTGGTTTGTTACATAGTTTTTCTTATTTTTAACCAGGCATTTTACTCCGTTAATTTGTCCATTAGTCTTATGCCTATATGCCTCATGCACATGATATTTCGAAGTAGTTAACCCTCTTCCTTTTCCAAAGTAAGCTTTGCTAGTTCAGGGTTTCTTGTAACTGACTCTGATCCCTAGGTGGGTCTAATCTGTTTAGAATAGAGTCATGGAAAGGAGACTCTTAGTGTAGCCAAATGCCGGATGGTTGGTGACTGGTTGGTTGGTTGGTTGGTTGGTTGGTTGGTTGGTTGGTTGGTTTGAACAGCCACCTGTACCCTCTTGGCTCATGAAGCTTATGGTTCACCAAAAACTCCATATTTCTTGGAGTCATTAAGTTGGGTCTTCTACAGCATGTACTGGAGTCATTTTGTTGTTGCTGAATCATGTGACTTTGCATTTAGCCTTATTAAATTTGATCTTACTGGGTTTTTTAATTCTTTTATTGTAGTAAAATATGCATAACATAAAATTTACATTTATCTGTTTTTAAGTGTATAGTTTGGATGCATTAGGTACATTCCCATTATCGTGCAACCATCACCACCCTCCACCTCCAGAACTTTTTTCATCTTCCCTGACTGAAACTCCATACCTATCACATGATTCCCAATTTCCTCCCACCCACAGCCCTTGGAAATCTTCTGACTTGACTCTCTCTCTGAATTTGACTAACTCTGAGTACCACGTGAGTGGAGTCATACAGCATTTGTCCTTTTGTGAATGGCTTATTTCAGTAAGCATAATGTGTTCAAGTTTCATCTGTGTTGTAGCATGTGTTAGAATTACCTTCCTTTTTAAGAATGAATAATATTTCATTATATGTATATGTCATATTTAGTTTATTAATTCAACTGTTGATGGACATATGTGTTGTTCCCACGTTTTGGCTCTTGTGAATAATGCTGGTGTATAAATATGTGTTCGAATCTCATTGATTACTGGTTTTAACTCATTACATACTGCCCCTGTTTTGTGTTGTTGGGTAATTATCCACAAATCAGATAAGCTTGATTTCTGACTGCCCAAGTCCCTTCTTAATAGTATTGTTGCACTTCCTATTGATCTGAACATATCATTTGTACAAAATGGTCTTTTCTGCTATCCTCAGTCTTTTTAAAATTATGACATGGTCTTTACAGCTGGACCCGGGAGCAGACTGCTTTCATACTTAGCCCGAGTCTGAGTTTGTTACAGTTCTTTAGGCTCAAGTCTAACTGGGGTTGGGGTGGGGGTGAATCAAATAACTTCTAGGCTTAATCAAAGTGGGAGGTTTGGGGATTTTTGTTTGTTACCTGTGTACTTAAAGGCCATTAAAATTACACAGAAACTAATATCACGTATCAAAAAGCAGGGAACCGAGGCTTGGAATGACCTGATTAGGATTGAATTCATTTGCTTCACAAATATTTATTGAGCTCCTACTTATAAAAAGTACAAAGTGCTTTTGGGAATCAAAAGATGAATAAAACACACTCCCTGCATTCAAGACGATTACAGTGTAAAATATTAGAAGAACTTACTGTTGTAACACAAAAATCTTTAAGCAAGGCTTCAGCTACAAAAACATCTCCTTAAGATGAGGAGGATTACAGAAGACATCAAAAAGCGAAGTGTGCTTTGAAATTATGTTTTATTATAGATGGGTTTTAAGCAAGGATTTGGGGACAGACTGAAAAATGAAACAGGAAAGCTTTAGAGGTGTTAGCTTTTGCTTTACTTTGGCTGATATGATAGCACCAGAAAAACAAAAAGTACTCTTGCTCTTGACAGTATAAAGTTCTTATTATTTTTAGAGAACAGTAACTTTGCATTTATGAAATTCTTTGTCAGAGCAATTTAGTTAATAGGTATGTAAATGACTGCTTATTTCATTGTGTAGGTGGATCACTCCATGTACACTTTCTGAGGAAGAATGTAAGTGCTAAAAACTATTAACATTGCAAATACAAGAAGGGAAAGTTAAGGTTAGAATGCCATATACCTTGGTTTTATTAGATGTTAGGAGTAAGAAGATCCATCTTACAATGGAAATTTGTTCAGTTTACTCAGTGGAATTTCTTATTTACATCCAACTCTCTAACCATCCTTTTTGAATGCAAGAAAACTTAAGTGAATTGCAGTGCAAGGTGGTTTCATATTATTGGTTTTCAAGCATCAAGGATCATGATAAACCTAACTAGAGTGGGTTGGGGGAGGTACTGAAAGTTAAAAACCACAGTAATAGATTTTCTTGCAAGATTTGCAGTCTAAGGCATCTAGTGAGAACATCCTAAAAAAGCACCTAAGGGGCTCTTTTAAAAGTTTGTTGTTTTTTCAGCATGAAAACAACTTCAGAGGAGGCTAGGAATTCCAAAGCTCTTCTGGCTTTGGCTGCCTCTTGTGATTAGCATGGAAGCTTCTATAATCCTTGAGTTAAATCAGACCTGGTCTGGGCAAGGAAGTTACCAGTGGAAGAGAATCAATGGGCCTACCTCTTAGATGGTCTCCAGCTCTTCCCTCATTTGAATTCATCCTACCCAGTGAATTAGCCTCATCTTCAATTGTGTTTTAACCATTACATACCCCTTCCTTTAAATTTCCTCAGGTTCCACGTCATCTTGCAAATCAAATTAAAATCCTTATTAATGCACCCCTAGCTCTTCACCAATTTGCCCTTCTACCCTTCTTATCTAACCACTCTTGGCTCCCACTAACATCATCAGTTCACATTCTCTGAATCAGGCTAGCCAGTGAAACTCACTCATCATGTTTATTTCTTTCTGTGAGATACAGCTCATGTAATTCCCAGTCCCTCCCTCTCTCACTCATCAGTAAGCCGAGTTCCTTCCCACGTGGTGCTATGCAGTTGTTGTCATAGGCCTGTGTTCCTTTATGTGGCAAGCTGTCTCTGTGCTGTGCTACGGACACTGAGGCTAGACCAGGGGCTGCGTCCACTTACTTCAGCCCCCCAGCTCTGTAAGGGGCCAGGGGCTGGGCTGCACGTTTTGAGTGCTTTTTGTTAAAATGTTTTTACTTTTGCCTTTGTTTTCCTTTTCCTTCAGGTGCAGAGTGAAGACAGTGTCCTCCTGTTTGTTATTGCCTGGACAATCACAGAAATTATCCGTTACTCCTTTTATACATTCAGTCTATTAAACCATCTGCCTTACCTCATCAAATGGGCCAGGTAAAGAAGTACAGGGAATGAAGACTAACTTTTGAAATCCATCACTGCAATACTGCCTAAATATTGCCTCCAAGCTCCTAAAATAAAATTGTGTGAGGCAGGGTTTGGGTTAGAAATCTGGTCTGTAGATTTCATCAGGATTAGGAACTCTACTTAATTTTGATTAATAGAAACGTGTTTTAAATTTTTTATACATAAGTTATTTTTATTGGATCAATTCTTTTCAGTTAAATTATTCAGTAGAGATTTGATGGAACGTCTCTTTTTTGTCCATATCACATTTTACTGATGTGCTTCTGCCGTTACGATGGTTTTTTGGACCTAGTCCAATTCCCCTGTTCTCAATTTTGCCAACAAGTTATGACTCTTAAATTAATTTTTAATTAATAGCAAACATTAGATGGCAGATTATCTTATCAGTTTTATTTTGCTCTCATTATTTTTACCAGCAGTATTCATTATGAATTGGATAAAGGACTGACAGTTCATCTTTTTGTTTAAACTAATCCATGAGACAGTTGTAAGCAGTTTTCTGAGTTGGAAAAGAGTATGAAAACAATTGACAAAGCCAAAGGAGCAAAATTGTCCTTGGGGCACAAGTGCTTCATTTCACAGAAAGAAAACAGTCATTTCTAGACAATTTACAAGTTCTGTGATTAAATTAGAGACATAGAGCAATTGTTTCCAACACTTAAAGTATGTGAACTCCTTTTTTTTTTTTGGAAACATTTTTTATTAGGAAAAGGGAAGAATGGGAAAAACATAGCAACTCCTAACCAACCTGGGCAGGCATATCGAAAGCTATCTACCTGGTTATAAGGGAAGTTTATTGGCCAAGACCTGATTTTACTATTGGAGAATAATTCTTTTGTCCATTGTTTTCCGCGGCCTATGGAAGAAGATTCTTCCTTTTCTACCATCTTCCTTTGAATGGCTGAGTTGGCAGTGGAGAACATGTCTTCCTCTCAACATCATTGATTTCTCAGCACAATTCCTGTTCCTGGAATTTTGGAGCCTAGTGCTTGCTGTCAGCCACAAACAACCAAAGATTTTTTATGTTTCTATTTTGTTTATTATTAAAATATAGTGGACATACAATATTATGTGAGTTTCGGGTGTACAACATAGTTATTCAACATTTATATACCTTACAAAGTGATCACTGCGATAAATCGAGGAATCATCTGTCACTGTCTGAAGTTATTACAATACTATTGACTATATTCTCTATGCAGTATATTACATCCCGGTGGCTTATTTATTTTCTAACTGGAAGTTTATACCTCTTATTCTCCTTCACATTTTTTTTAAGGAGTTTATTAGAAGAAAAAATACATTTCAAAGAAGCAGAAGTGGGCCCGAGCAGTAAAGAATGGCTCAAGGGCCATTGTTAGAAGAGAAAGCACACTCCAAAGAGTTTGGAGTAGGCCGAGCAAAGGAAGCTTAAAAGGCCTCCCCTTCACATTTTTTTAACCCATTCCCCTACTTCCTTCCAGACTTCTGGCAGTCATCAGTTGTTCTCTATGTCTGTGAGTCCGTTTTGTTTGTTCTGTGTTTTAGATTTTACATATAAGTGAAATCATATGGTATTTGTTCTTCTCTGACATAATCATTTAGCATAATACTCTCTAGATCCATCCATTGCAAATGGCAAGATTTTATTTTTTATGTTTGATATACATACATATATATCTTCTTTATCCATTCATCTATCACTGTACACTTAGGTTGCTTCCATATCTTGGCTATTGTAAATAATGCTGCAGCCAAAGGCTTTTTAAAATCTGAGCTGATGATTTCTTTAGCAATACTTACGCCTCGAAATGACTTCCAGTTAGTGCCATAGGATGAACCTTTCTCTGAATTCTTTTTGAAACATAGAGAATTCCTTTTTAAAGTGACAAAAATTGTGTGGATTCTCCCATGTGATAGTAATTGTAGTGTTGTGGGGGGTTTTTTTATTGAAAAATTATATAGTGAGAAAAACTTACGAATTTGTTAATGTTTTTTTAAATTAGCACATATTTAATTTTTCACAATAGCATGTATGAGGTCTGACTATTATTAAGTTTGCAAACTTGTTGCAACAATGTTTGTAACCTTTTTTTGATAATAGATGGATTGTTCATTATGAATTTGTACCAACTGGACAAACAGTTAAGTTTATTATTTGGAAGTGATGAAAAGGCTGCGTGAAAAAGTTAGACAACCTGAACTTTACACCAACAATTCGTGGTTCTTGCATCACGACAATGCACCAGCTCACACGGCACTGTCTGTGAGGGAGTTTTTAGCCAGTAAACAAATAACTGTATTGGAACACCCTCCCTACTTATCTGATCTGGCCCCCAGTGACTTCTTTTTTTCTTTTTCTTTTTTTTTAAGATTTTATGGGGAAGGGAACAGTGTTGGGGAATAGGGGAAGAGGAACATTGTGTTTTTTCAGAACCCATCAGCTCCAAGTCCAGTCCCCGCTTTCAATCTAGTTGGGGTGGGGGGGGGGCGCAGCCCACCATCCCATGCGGGAGTCGAACTAGCAACCTTGTTAAGAGCACGCGTTCTCACCAGCTGAGCCATCCGGCCGCCCGTTGGCAGCTCAGCAACAGCTCAGCTCGGGCGCAGTTCACTAGCCCATGTGGAATTCGAATCGGCGACCCTGTTGGTCAGAGCTCGCGCTCTTAACCAACTGCGTCACCTGGTTGGCTCCCCCAGTGACTTCTTTCTTTACCCGAAAATAAAGGAAATATTGAAAAGAATACATTTTGATGACATTCAGGACATTAAGGGTAATAACACGATAGCTCTCTGATGGCCATTCCAGAAAAAGAGTTCCAAAATTGCTTTGAAGGGTGGACTAGGTGCTGGTGTCGGTGCATAGCTTCCCAAGGGGAGTACTTTGAAGGTGACCATAGTGATATTCTGCGATGAGGTATGTAGCACTTTTTCTAGGATGAGTTTGCGAACTTAATGGTCAGACCTTGGATATTTGAATAATTGTAGCAATGTACACAATTGGATATGCAATTTTTTTTCAGTCCACAGACCAGACTTGGTGTACACTGTAAGGATTCCTAGACCCGTGCTCCAAAACTCCCCCCCCCCTAATTCCCTTTAAATCTCCCACTCCCACCCTACTGGGCAGGACCCTTCAATATAAACCATGACTCATTGCCCTTACTTACCAATGTTGAGCGTGATCACCTTAGTTATTTTAGGGAGTTGCTTTGAAGAGTTGTTTATTTAGTCAGGCCAAATTTCAAAGCTGACTGAACACATTTATTTTAAAACATGCAGAAACATACCTGCTATAGGCCCTTTTCAAAAGTGGCTTGTAAAACCTGATTTAAGCAGTGGGTAAAACAGGAAATGTATAAATAGTAGCTTTCTAAAAGACCAGTACTGATTTTAAGGGTGGGGGTGTGTCTTTATACTAAAGCTGGCTTCCAGCCTCGGTAATGAAAATTTTGTTTTGTTTCAGGTACACGCTTTTCATTGTGCTGTACCCAATGGGAGTGGCAGGAGAATTGCTCACAATATATGCTGCTTTGCCCTTTGTCAGACAGGCTGGCCTGTACTCCATCAGTTTACCCAACAAATACAATTTCTCCTTTGACTATTATACATTCCTAATTCTGATAATGATCTCCTACATTCCACGTAAGTAAACAGTTACACATATATTTATTTATGTTTTTAAAAATGGCTGTACAATAACTAGAGCCAAATGCCTTTGCTTGTTTTTACACCATATCCAGGTAAATGTAGCTCTAACTCATTGGGAACGCTTTGGTTTTTATTGAAGGCCAACTGTCAGAGGGAATTTTCTCTGATAGTAGTTGAATGAAAATGAACCCTTCTCAACACAGCTGCCAAAATGCAGCCCTTCTCGGTGTATGGGTTTGAAACAGTGAATACTCAGATAGGTAACTCTCTGTTGAGGGAAGTACTGAGTGGAAAACAAAAAGAAAGCCGTTAAAGCCTTACCTTGACTTTTTCTGTGTCTTAAAAACTGCCTATTACGGTACTTGAAAAACATTGTAAAGAGATTTTTGCATTTTTACAGTATCAAAATAGACAGTTAACTTCATTTTTAAGGAATCAATCGTTAACCAGAAACAAATAACAAAATAAAAATAGATTAATTTATTTTTTTCTGTATTTCTTACTTTCTTGTTTGGAAAAAAGCCCTAAAACCATCTGAACAGCACATAGTGTTCTCTTCAGGATGGTTTCCAGTATTTTGATAATACTGCTAACGGGCTATATTGGATAATCAAATGTGCCTATCAGCGTACTTGGTAACAGAAAAAAACACCACATTTGAGGCTTCTGTGAAGTGAGTCCTGTTTGCTGAGAAAAGTTGGTTAGTCCTTTTCTTGAATTCTGATGTTTAGTTGAAAGGCTGTGATCAATTTCCACATACCCAGAAGGACCTTGTTCTACCCAAGGACATACAATGTTTCTACTCCTTGGGCTATTTCTGTAGCCACTGTGACTCTGAACCTTATTTTAGTCTCTAAGGTGCTATATTCTCCCCCTACATCTCAGGTTAAATTCAGACGGGAGGGCTGGGCTTCTTGTCAGCCCACCGCATCCACTGCATGAATCACCCTAACAAGCAAAAGCGACATGTTCGGGGCCCTGTGTGGAAAACTGCGTTTCATGCGTTCTGAGAAAAAAACTGCATCCAGATTTCATGTGAACGTTTATCTTGGAGAAATGCTTGGCCACAGCACTTACTGCTCCATGATTCATTTCCCACTCTTCAGTAATTATCAAGTCCTCCTCTTCGGTGCTGAAACCGTGGTGGCTAAAGGCCATCTCTCCCAAATGTGAAAGGTAGTTGATTATCAAACAAAAGATAGATATGGAAGAGTCTAAAATTTTAAGTCATAAAAATTAGCTTACAGCTTTTCACCTTTCTCATATTGTGCCCTTAGTGTTTCAATTTCCAGTCTCTAGAGCAACAATTCTTAGCTGCTGTTTTGCCACACCCAGACGGACACGTGTTATCCCAGTGAACGTCACAGGATTTACTTAAATTCGACACAAGTTTCTGAATGCATAGGAGATAGATTCCGTTTGGGATAACTGGGAAAGGAGCAAGGAAGGTATCACGAAATCAAACCAGTAAAGGCCCTGTCACACTGACAGAAATGTGGGGTCCCTGCTTCACAGTTGCTACAAGATTTCTAGTCTGTGGAAGGAGGGGCTTCCTTCCCAAAACAGCTCTGTGTGCGCCTCTCAGACTCTGTGTCCTGGTGGCCAACCCATGCCCAGCCTTGGCCTCTGCCTGCTGACCTCATGATACAGAGAAGAGGCCTGATTACGTGCAAGCAACCCTCCCTGATGATAGAATTCCTAAAGGAAAACAAGCCCAGCTCTGTGGGATTTTCTTTCTTGGCTTCAAAAGACAAAAGAGAAAAAACAGAAACCTCAGGACCAGCTGTCGTTTAGAGAGTAGGGCAGACTTCTCTCAACACGTCTGCTTTCTTTACCTCGTTTCCTTCCCCCGTCTTCCATTTTCAGCCTCCTTTTGGTAAGAGAACTTGGCTTGGGTAAAGTCTATAGTCTTTCTTTTTTAAGGCAGCTTAACTCTTGTAGACAAAGAAAAAGGGTTGATTTCAAGCAGAGATTAAAAGATTGCCTCCATTCCCCTGAGTCCCCACCCAGCCCAGGATGGCAGCCCGAACCACATCTCCCGCTGCAAATCATGCTTCTCTGCTGGCACCCACCATGCTTCTGGCCGGGCCAGTTGCCCTGGGTGTTTTCAGTAGTTTAGGTTGTTAATGTTGAGACCAATTTGTACAGTTCATTCCCAGCCAACTGCACATTTCCATCTTTCTACAACTTTGTATTTACAAGAAGAAATGTAGAATTAGGAGAGGCAGCCTTCTTTACCAAATTTGGTTTTCTTTCTACAACCTAAGTTTCTCTTAATCTTCTTTAATGGGAAGTTGATTTTATGCTTTGAAGTACGTGTAGCCCACACCACAGTGGCCCATGAGCTGTGGTCCCGAGTGTAGTCTCATGTTGGGGTCCTTTGGTGTCCCTTGCAAGGTGCCCCTGTCGTGTTCTGCCACAATGGCAATATATGCAGTATCTGCAGGACTCAGTAGACATCTAAGCCCTGTTTACAGTTTCCCACCCCACACTGGTGAAAATTGGTTATAGAGTGGGGGTCAAAAAGGCTAAGGAGCAGTGCCGTAGGGGAAGAACACCAAGAAGCTGGCACTGCAGGTAACCATATGCCAGTAACCATAACCACACCTCTGGTTTATAGAGACATTGAGAAGGAAACTTGCCCCAGGCAGAGCATTTCCGGTTGCTCTCGGCCTCCAAGTCTTCCTCTCTCTGGAAAGAAAGAGAGCCCATCTTCTTACAGGAAGGGGGCACAGTGGTACCCACAACCCCCCACCCCACCCCAACACACTGAGACACGCACGCACGCATGCACACACAGTAACCATCACCATTCTGTGCCTGAACTGGGAGAGCAGAAGGTAGAATTCTACATAGCCTATTGTCAGGTTGATTTTCTTAGGGTTATTCTTCATTATAGCCCAGTGAATCTGGAATTGTCTCAGCCATTATAGATGGGTTCAGCCTGAACACGGTAGGTAATTCAAATGGAGACAGTGTCATCCAAGTTCTGGTCACCAAGAAGTCAATGCTAGAGCTGTAGAGAACCTTCAACCCCAGGAGCCCCACTCCCTGGGCCTCCCCCGTAGGCACTGAGAAACCTCTGCAAGACGTAAAAGAATGAAAGGTGCAACCATGTCTGCTCTCCATTTCTGACCCCTAACTCTGACCGCCAGCAGGCCCTTGCCTACGGGGATGAAGGTATACTCGGCCACCTTTCTTTAACTGCCACTAAGGGCCAAAGGAATGGCATCTAGGTCATTGTCCTCCCTCCCCGCTCTGCACTAGTTGTGAGGCTGTGGCCGCCCTGGATGGGGTGTTGTAATCACACATGCAACCAGTGGAAATGTTCTCAGTGTCCTTTGCCACAATGTTTCCCTTTATTAAAGCATATCTATAAAAATGTGGCTGGCCCCACATTTTTAAATGATTGCAATTAGCATTCCTTATGGTTTAATTATATCTTTACTTCCAGTTTTTAGATTATAGAGCTTGTCAAATTTTCTGCTTTTCGTACCAAAATAGTTCTCCCACTGTTGAATTAGATGCACAAGCTGGTCTTTTCTATGATAACTTCCTGCCTGCAAATAGTGAGTGGAGTGGATGGCAGCCCTGTTCAGCATCAGGGCCTCCTCTGCAGTTTATGAGATCTGTGTACACATTCCCACTGATGTCTTGGAGTACTTCAGGAGGATCACTTGAAATTTGGCCCACTTGGGACCCATTTAAAAAGGAAAAACTGTCCAAGAGAGTTGGCAGTAGTAGGGATTAACCTCCCCCAAAATGTAGGTTATTGTCTAAAAAAACAGATTGGAGCTGTTAAGAAGGGGAGGAAAGGAATGATATCCAATATTATCCCACTGGAGTTTTTTACATAGTTATGAACCCCCCCCCCCCCCCAGGTTACAGTAACCTTGGGAAGGCCAGGTAGCTCCAACAGGGATTTCCCAGCAAGGACACTAGGCATTTGGAGTGGTTAGATTCTTAGTTGTGGGGACTATCACACACTACAGGTGTTAGCATTCCTACCCCCATGGGCTAAATGTCAGTAACCTGCCCCCCTAAATGCTCTCCCCACCCCATTTCCAAAGATCCCTAGGGAAGCAGTACCACCCCATTCCTTTGAGAACCAGCACTTTTAAAAATAATCTTTACCAAGAGCAGGCTCTCCACTGTCTAAGATACTGGCTGTCTTTTCATAAGGACTTCTTCCACATTCAGACCTGGCGTGGTTGTGTTCAGATCAGTTGTCGTAGCACTCCTTGCTCTCCCCAGTCTTCCCATTTGAGGAACAACCCTTCTCAGGAAGTCCTTTTGGCAGAGACTAAGAGTCCAGAGCCCTGAGCCTTGTCCAGATTCTCCCAGTGATTCGCGATGGGACCCCAGACAAGCCGCTTATCCTGGTTGGGGCTTGAATTCCTCATCTGTGAAACAGGGATAGTAACCCCATCACTGGAATTCTTCACCTGGTTGTTGTAAAATCAGGAAATAAATGTGAGGATAACATGAGAGTGTACAGAGTATGATTTGGCAGCCCTGTGGCATCTTGATTGGTAACGACAGTGACAGCAGTGTCTGTCATTCCGGTCCACACCAGCCTTCCTCCTTGGCGAACGCCAGATAAAGCAGGCCTCTGTGTTTTTCTTCCCCTTCCCCAAGCCCACCTTCTCACCTTCCTTGGTTAATGGTTGAGAAATTAGTGGGAGAGTCATAGAGGACCCCAAGTCCACGTGCTTTAAGTAGAACATGCCACTTTAAATGACCTCTTTAACCAATTCTTTCTTTCCTTTCCAGTTTTTCCCCAGTTGTATTTCCACATGATACACCAGAGAAGAAAGGTCCTTTCTTATACTGAAGAACACAAGAAATTTGAATAGTTCCTATTTCCTGCACCCCTCCAAAAAAACACAAACTTTTCAATGACAAAAAAATGCTGCAGACTTTTTGAGTCCCCAGTACGTTTCATAGAAAATAAGTAAGGACTATTTTTAAAATACTAAAATAATAAAATAAAACAAAAACCAAAATCCAGTGTCATACGGGCCTGGGATTTTATAAAACAAAACAAAAAGCTGTTGCATAAAACACCCTGGCCAGTCCATTCCGCATGCTTTTTCAACCGGAAGTTCCCAATATTTATGATGGCATTAGAAAGGGATTTGGTGTTTTATATCCTCCTGTTTCCTTCATGTAGCTGATAAATAAAGATCTATAGCACTGCATACTTGAGAGGTACAGTCTGAGTAATGAAGTTGTACCGACAGAATGCCCGGCTTGCAGTAGAGCTCTGTTTCAGTCTGCAGCGCGTTTAGCTTTCCCTTTGCAAAGTGCTTGACTGCATGCTGGAAACTATTTGTATTTTTGAAGCGGCAAACTTTGTCCTCTGGAATGCTCTGAAGTTATGGCTGGGACCTTTCCCCTCATATCTAGTGAATGAAATATACAGTGTATATGTCTGTGAAGCTCTGGGGTAATAATACCCATAATCAGAAAACAACTAGAACCCTTTTGTTTGTTTTCAGTTGAGCCATTACTGCCTGCCACTGAGAAATGAGCTTGAATTTAATACGTATATGCACATTGTAGAGAACCTACCTTATCTGGGGCTCAGCCTCACTCGTATTTTAGCAAAATGTCAGTTGAGAAAAGGAGAGCTCCATTACTAGTCAGTGACAAGCACCTTTCACAGTTCTATTCTCAGAGCCCCTCTGAGTAATGTATTTGCCAAGAGCTATTCTCATTTATGGACCTGAAACCAGTCTCGTCACATAGAAGCAGAGAATCTGTTCTTGAAAACACATAGAAGGTGCTATTTGAGAAATGTAGTCCGAAAGAACATTCAGGAATAGGTTTCTGCACCCTTAGTTTTTGTTTTTTAATTTTTCATTCAGTTCTATTTGGATACTTTTCCTAATTGTGGTCCTATGAGACTCCCACCAAGTTGTAAGTCCAGAGGCAGTGAAATGTTCCCGTTGGGCAGTCATGAGCCAAAAGCAGTATCACCCTGCATGTTGGAGCAGCCAAGAAGTACTTGGGTCATATGGACATTGTCCACCTAACACCATGTCTTTATACCATTTAATTGCTCAACTGTGCGTTTAAGACGCTTCAAGAAAGGGTTGGATGAAAACATAAAGCCCAAGTTTAGACATGCATTAAATTTTACACACAGGATGTTCTTTGTGGAACCATTTTTTTCCCTTTTTTCTTTAATTGGTTAGTCTTTAAAACCTTTAAAAGTCTAGCTTACTAGCTTACCAAGTAGATATTTAAAATATAATTGCTAATATCAGAAGAGTGTCATAATGGAAAACTAAATTTTTAAATGCTTATTTTCATAGAGGCTTGAAAATGAGAAGAAAATATGTAGCTAAAAATTTAATGCAGGCAGATGTGTAATGAGTTATTTTTGAATTGAACATTAAAATTCTGCTTCTAAAAGTCAGCACTCTTAATCTCGGCATATTGGAATTATAATCTGTTCTTGTACTTGATAAACAAAACATGTGGGAAAGATTTGTCATGCTTTTTCTCTTTTTATTGGTCTAAAATATATTTCTCCTGTAAAATATAATCAATTTGGGTTATATTAGCCTTATTACTTAATTTGAATAAGTTTTTTTCAGTCTTTAGAATAGTTACAGAAGATGGGATGAAAAATGCAGGTTTTCAGGATTGCTGGATTGGTTTTATTCGGGTCTCTAGTATAATGTCACAATTTATGAAAAACAGTCTGTCGCAAACAGTGGTATTACATCAAATTGAACTTTGGCAACAAGAACACAGTAAACAAATCCCTTCTGAAAAAGGGTCTCAACCCCAGTGTTTATTTTTGTACATCAAACATTTAAAATGTTTATGGCAGATAAGTAAGGCATGCCACTGTGTCCCTCAGTCACCTTTCTCAGTAACTGGTTTCTTTATGTCTAACATGAATGAATTTTTCCTTTGAAGTGGTGGCATTCTTTTATGAATTGAGACCATCTAACCCACCAAATGTCCCGTCTTCTTACAAAGTGTGAATAAGGAAGGTGGTAGTTGGTGGGTCTTTTGTCAGACCTACCATATTCATTTCAGGGCGTAGTCAAAGGCACCAGCTGCCCGGCTGCCCTCCTGACAGGGTGTTTTAGATCCTCGCTTTGGGGACCACCTTCTGGCACAATTCTGTGAGATACACAGGGTTTTGTGGGCACAAGCTGCTAACCTGCATCTTGCTGTGTTCTGTTTGCCAACGTTGGGATCGTTCATTTAATACATACTGCCTATTCTCAAAAGCCCCCGGGGAGAGTCATTCATGGAATAAAGGGCCTCCCAGACTAGAACGTTCCTCTGGACTGAGCTTCCAACCGGAGATGTAGCATTAAAGAGGCATGTGAAGAGGTTGTGCCCTCGTTTCCACTTGTGCTTTTGGTTATTCATTTGTAATAAAAGGTTGGCATTGATGTGGTACAACCTACAAATTATTTTCAATTCTGAGTTTCAGATAAAACATCAAAATCAGTACATACTGCTCCTTTGAAATTTGGGTAAAAAATTGTACACCCGTATATATAGTCATTTTTGTATTTTTTCTATGTTGTGAAAACCAAAATTGTAATTTTATAAGTCTTTGATTCACTAAAATTCTATAATTTAAATGTATTTTTTGTATATTTAGAAATAAGGAGTTCAAAGACTATGCTTAACTTTCTATGCATGCATTTGGAAGCTGTTTTTACCTGATAATGTTAATGTAGTAATAAGTTGTATTCATAAAATACTGATCTGTGTTGCATTTCACAATAAACTGGTGTGTGCTCTGCCTGGATTTGAAATACTGACCATTGAGCATAGTGATTTTTCACATGAAATTGGCCTGAAAGTGGTGTTATAGGTCTATGGAAGAGTTTCAGTTCTGCTATGGATTCCAGCTCTTTTCTTTGACAGTTTTAAAATGTATTTCTGCTAATCATAATGGTTCTGCACTTACAGGAAAAATAGACAGCTATATTAAGATGTTTCCAAAAAAGTCATTCTTCCTGCCAGTCTTGAAGCTTACTAAGCCTGCCTCCAACCTGGGTGCAATGGGATAAGAGAGATTCTTCATGTAAGCGACCAAAAATCTAGGAAATCAATCCATAAGAGATGGACGACCCTTGTCTTACAATGGTTTTTTGTTGTTGTTTCTATCTAACTTTTCTAATACAAGTTGAGAAGGGAATTACTGTTGCCCAGCATTGTTCATCTTATATTGAAACAAATACCTGGTCACGTGGTCAAGTACCTCCTCCTAAAAATGCCGCCACATAGAGAACAATCCTAGATACTGCTTTATGCACTCAAGTTCACAGTACAAGTGGTAGAAAGGACACTGATGGGATACTGTCAGCCAAGCCACTTCTCATCTGCTGGTTCTAGCTCTAGACCCCCATATTTCTTCACCCCAGAATGAAAGTGCTGATGTCTCCGAGTACTGGACACTTTGTATTTCTCTGTGTGATCTTTAGTAGGTGCCTCCAGCAGTAACACGCCCTCACCTGAGTCTGCCAGGTGGTTTGTCCTCAGAGGTAACTGTCACCATTGTCCAAGAGTGTAGTCTTTATTCCAAAAGGGAACAATTGCCTTCTAGATGCTGTCTGATCATGGCTTAGATGTTATCAGCACAGTGGGTAGAACCACCTCTCTCCTCATATAGAGTCTAATCTCTTTCAGAGATAGGCTTTTTATTTATGAAAGGAGAAATAAAATTAGTTCAACTGAAACTGAGTACCAGATGGTAAAGTTAATAGTAGAGGCAACCCAGAAAATACCACCTCTACAATCTTAGGGTGGTACTGGAAACCAGGGCTTTCTAATTTGTCATTGTCATATTTTGTGGCAATTATGTGTACTATGTTAATATAAAACCTAGCCTGAGGACTTACCATTGGTATAATTAAGAGACCTACTGTTACACACAGCATTCCAAAAATACTGCTGTGTTCTGCTCTCTTTAACAAGAATGAAGACTAGCTTTGCTATTTCTCATATTGTTTATTTAAAAACCCCAGCCTTACACATAGACTAGTTCATTGTCATATAGTCTAGTGGTGAAGAAACTGTTCTAAGCAGCTATTACCAAAAATAGCCATAACATTCCCAGGCCTGTAACTGAGAACCAGAGTTAGAAGAGAGCTGTGTGGTTTTTTGACCAACATTTTCTTTTAGACATGTGGGGGACTACTTAATCTTTTTTTTTTTCCAAATTTAGAGACACCCCTTAGGGGTAGATCTCATTACCAAAAAGAATCTTTTTTCCCACACAAGGCAATTCACCCTAAAACTCATTTGATGAGCAAAACTAAAATGTGTGAGAGGCTGTGTGCGTAAGCACCCAGTACCCATTTCATAAATCTTTTTATGTTTGCAAATTGTGTTTTGTGCTCACTAATAATTCCAGAGCCTAGACTTATTGCCACGTTAGCGCTTTCGCATCTGTCTTTGACCTTGGTGGATGTAATCCAGAAACCTTTCCAGATGCTGCACTTGGTTAAAGCCCAAACACAGTTTCTACCTCCCGTATTGTTGTAGCCGGGCTGCGCCACTGGGGGGCAGCACCTCGCAAGCGATCGGGGCCTTGGGAGTCAAAGCTTTTGAACACAGCTTCCGCCCCAAGGACACGGAGGAGGCAGAAAGGTGCACTAATGGAAATCAGTCATGGATCTCTATTGTCCATGTAGAGCAAGGGCAGTCAGACCTTAAAGCGTATGCTGGAGAAGTACAGGAAAGCACACTTATTTTGGAGCAAAGAAACCAAGCTTGGATGCATGCTTCGAGGCCCCGTCTATCGCGTCCCCCTACAGCCCTCCCCAGCGTGGGCCCTACAGGCTGCTTGGTTTTAAAATGCTGTCAGCTTTTGGTCTGAAAGCAGGTGTTTCACGGAGAGCCTGCTTGTTAATCTTTGAAATGTTCAGGGAGGTCAGTTCCCACTCTTCTTCTGTCTGGATTATTTTTGGAGGATGACCTGGGCCATGAGAAAATGTCAGGCCACCTTATAAGGCCACGTCTGGCCCCGAGAATGCTCGTCTGCAGCATGTCCAGGACGCTGTGCGGGTGTGAGTTAACTTGCCTCTTGGACTGTGGGTTTTCTCACAGATTGCAAATGCTTCTATTCGTGCTGAGGATTATTCTCTAGGTCTAACAGGCTTAACGTCCCCATCAAGAGAAAAATGTATAAATGACACCAATTGGGGGCGTACCAAATAGATAACCCAGGGCATATGTGAACCGGGTAATGTCCTCAACAACTGCACTAGTTGGCTGTGCTTAGGGCCGATGATAATAGTCTACCACAGGTGGCTCGTTTATGTCAGAGTGAAATCCACAGGATGTTGGTTCCAAGTGATGAGGGCAGTATGGGTGGGTATGTTGGGGAGAGGGGGTTCTATAGTTTTAAAAGTCGACCCAAAATTGAAGTGTTCTCTCCTGCTAAACTTACAGACTTCTTCGCACATTAATGCAGTTTGTGACTGGGGGGTATGCTAATACAGGATTTTCGAAAGTTATTTTTTACCTTTATCCTTGAAGCATCTTCAGAGCTAAGGCTTCTTGGGCACCTTGAAAAACATGAATCTGTTGATGGCAGCTCTCCCCATCAGAGAATGTTAACCCTTCCAGGGGAAAACAACGAGATGGCAGCTTTGCCTGGGATCTAGGAAGATTTTCCTTGTTTTATTATTTAAAAACCCACCATCATCAAATAGGTAAATAAGTTATTAGACTGAGAACCCACATGTCAGCAGCCCTAGATGGAGTCTATCATTTACTGCTTACTGGTGGATATAAAAAGTGTCTACCAGTGGATGGGACCTTGTCTGTCTGAGAACCGCTGGGACCAGCCACCCCTATGGTACCTTACACACTTAAAACATCATGCTGGGGTCATTTCAGCTGCCTGTCCCCTTGTACCTACACCCCAGTTTCCGAACACTGACTCAAGCACCCACTGTCAGAGCCCCTCATGCAGGCTGCTGTTCTTGAGGCTGGTGGTATCACGAGACCGTCTTCCACATTCCCGAGTGTCACCAGATGGTGACTGCTTTGTCCTGGTGTGCCCTGTTATCTGACAAGGTCTTAGAGTTCCCTTGTTCTGGGTTGTGTCCTCCCCTGTTCAGCTTATGAGCCAGAGAAGCCACCACTCACATTGTGCAGAGGAAACCAAGGTCCGAGAGGACATGCGACTTGCCCTGGCCACACGGACACAGAGCCGGGACTGGACCTCAGCCCCCTGCCAGGGCAGCTCCAGGGCTGTGCCCTTCTCTCTTCTGCCCACACCCACCCCTGGCTTTGCTGACGCTTCCACCTCTCACTCTGTTCCCTTTCAACCCCCGCTCTCCGATCTCCCCTGAGCATGATCCCTCAAACCTTCCCCATCATCTCTGGTCTGCCAGACTCCGCTGTTCTCACCGTTAAACCTCTTAACGTTAAACCGTGCCCCCCTGCCCTCCCAGCGCACGCTCATGACACAGTGCCAAGCTGGGATCAGTCCAGCCTCTACCCTTCCCTGCGCCTCATGTTTGGGGCTGCCTACTTGGCACTGTCCACAATTCCCTTTAAAATCCATCCTCCGTAACCCTCTGACTCACTCTTAGCCCAGGATAGCACCACCAATTCCACAGAGAAAACAGCAATTCTTCAACTTTCTGTCACAAAATTTATAAACTTGCCTATACTGACTCACCCTTATCCTCTTGTTAGAATAGAAGGGGTGACCCTCTAGCCAAAGCTAGTCCATCTCTTGTGCTCTAGATGTTTCCATCTCCCCCCCCCCACCCCCAGGGACCTCACTAGCCATCCCATCCTCTGTACTTCCTCTTCACTAGCTCTTCCCATCAAGTACCTCCTTATCTTGGCCTTGACCCCATGTACTTCGCTGCTTCCACCCTGTCTCCTGTTCTCTGGAAGAGATGGCTACAAGCGCTTCTCTATTTCTCACCTCCTACTCTCTTCCCATCTCACCGCAGCCTGGCTCTTCCTATCATGCCATTGACTTGGCTCTGTTCAAGATCAGTAGTGACTTCCTTGTTATGAAATTCAGTGCCCACTTCTTAGTCCTGGCCTTATGGTTGAAATTGGGGTACCATCCTGCTGGATGTTAGAAGTAATGGTATGGTTTTGAAGTGGACCGCGGGGGGTGCCAGCAATACCCAATACTGGTCCAGAACTCTCATTTCTCCTCCATGCATCTCTAATGAGGGTGTATGCAAAGGAAATCATGGGAAACCACCCAACAAGAACGTAATGGTTAACTGTGGCTTAAGCTCCTGGGAAGCATTCTGGTAAGCTGGGCAAAACCTCACAGAGCACTCCTGTTGGCTAAATTAGTAGGCGGTATTAGGTCAGACTAAAGAAAATCGTGAGGCCTGCTCAGCTCACCTCCCACCCCACGCCACCCCATTCTTCTTCATCCCAGCACTTAGGTCTCGCCACCATGGTAGGAAGGAAGGCTAACCCAACACACTGCCACCTCCAGGGAAGAAATACTCCAAGATGGAGTGTGTGTGCCACCAGGCCGGCCTCGGCTGGGTAGGACAGGAAGGCAGAAAGAGCAGACCCTGCTCTGCTTACTGCTTCCGGCTAGAAGAGCTGGAAGAGAGACCCACACCCCTGCACATCGACCTCCAAATGCCCATTGGCTCCACTTACTCTCACTAGCAGATGTAGCTCTGTTAGATCTCAAAACAGAATATAGATCAGCATTCCTGTTTCTTGGGTTTGAGCCAAGATGTGCTGGGGGAAATGAAGAGGGTCCTTGGAATCCTTCCCAGGAAGCAACAGCATTCTTGAAAATGCTCTTTGCTCT